AAAAAAAAAAAAAAAACGGTCTGAAACCCACCTTTGGTTGATGAGAGTTTGTAGTCTTGGGTTCTTAAGATTCGGGAACAGTAATTTATTGCAAAATAGAGGAATAGCCTCGATAGCTCTCAAGACTTGAAGGGTCAAAATATTGGGGAACGAAATTGGAATAGTTGGAATACGTCAAGGTGTTGCTATTGAGTCGGCTATCATTTACAGAGTACAAAGCAAAGGTCCAAATGTCTGAAATGCTATTTTAAATTCAATACGTAGCATACAAAATTTATTAAAAATAACTAAAAAATTGCCACGAAAATATTTAAAGTTTATTCATGGCAGACTAACAACTTAATTTGAAGGAAATAAATGTGTTGAACATCATACTGAGTTTGGTATTAGTTTATTAGATTAAACAAAACAGAAAATGCTGATATTTCTTATAATTATAAACCTCAAATATGGGTCTAAAAGAATGAGACGAAGAGGTCGACTGTGAACTGCACAAAATCACTTTTATCTTTCATCTTTTCTAAAATGTGCTTGCACTCATCATCTTCAAAATTCCAATTTGTTTCCACGAATGGAAAACATTCAGGCAATAAATTCTCTCCCTCTCTTAATTAACAAAAAAAGAAAAAGATATCAATAACGAATTTTGATTGAATTGATGTCTTGATATTATCTATAAGATAATGACCCGAAATCTTCATCTTATCTCATGTTTTCCACCAAATTTTGTTTCATTGTAGGATTGAGGTAGGAAAGGTGAAATAGAGACGCAACCTCAATTTCCTGTAGTTGGATGGTGAAGCATATGGTTCCCCGTGGCAGGGGCATCGCTCGCTACAGCGCAGGAGATTGGAACCCTGCTGACAGTTCCAAGAAAATAAACCAATTAAAATATAGTGAGTATTTGCTTTTGAAATATTCATCTAACGATTCTAATATTCTATAATGAAGCTAAAAATTATGGGTTGTTTTTATAATTTGAATCTTAAAAATGTATGTTACCTTGTGTCAGTGTGTGAGTCAACTTCCTGGAAAGTATCATTCGCCAAAAAACCTGTACAACCGTCAACCCCATCTTCGGCCAAGGTGTCCCGGACCTCCTCAGGCTCAATGTAACCATCCCCGCTCTAGTTAAAACAGGAAAACGCCTATCATCATCATCATCATCAACCGTTGCACCCGATTTGTTTGACCTACACTGCTTGCTCAGTATAAAAGCTTCAGGACAGTACCAAGTTATGTAATGCGGGGTGAAGTGAACTGAGTGTATCCTTTCTGCTCGAGTATTTGGGCAGCCCCTTTGAAATCCCTGACAAAATTCAACTGGGCATCACAATTGGGGCCACACTCATCATTGCTATTGGTCCAGATCTCGTACTCGACACGCTCGTTGGATGAGGGAGAGCTTCTCTCCATTCGAGAAGCAGAAGTTATAGTTATGTTTTGCAGGTAGTCTGCACGAGCGTCCTCTTCCTCCGGGGTGTCCATGGTGATAAGAGGTTCGACCCTTCGATCATCGGCCACGAGAATAGCTGCAGCCCCACCTTTCTGAGCATTCCACGCTTTCAGTGTGAAAAGTAATCTGCCAACCACACACATAAATTGCAGATCACGGGAATTATTACAGAAAGTTTTAGGCAGCAACTTGAGATTCCATAACAACAACAACAACAACAACAACAACAACAACAACAACAACAACAACAACAACAACAACAACAACAAAGAGCTCAAATTTGGACATCCGCTCACTAAAGATTAGGAAAACACAGAGAAAAATCAATTTGGATGAGTTGGGGCTAAGAAATTTTCTTAGCTACTCCATAAAATGGAGAAATTGAGAAACCAAAATGGGTGGCAAAGTTGGGGCTTGTTCCATAATTCAGTGAGCCGATGAGTGGGGATCTTCTTTAAAACTCCTAAGTCCCTTTTCTTATTCCTGTTCAGTCCCTCCCCTTATTTGTTTCCTTTTAACCAGTGCTACTATCGTGTGCCTTGGCACACCTAGCAAGGTGTGCCAAGACAGTTTAAAATGAACATGTTACTTTATAAAATGAACATGTGTAAACATGTTTACAGATGTTCATTTTATAAAGTAACATGTTCATTTTAAAAAAACCTTGGCACACCTTGCTAGGTGTGCCAAGGTTTGCGCCTTTTAACTACCTACCCACTTACTTAATTTGCATATAAGTTCCTCCTATTAAAATAAGTCATAAAGAAATTGAAATGTGACATTATCCCACTATCTACCAATTTTGAAACATTATTTTATTATTTTTGTTTACCTAAAAGTAACTTATTTTCCACTCTTCTTCCCCACTCTCCTCTTCTTCTCTCCCGCGTTTTTCTTCATCGTCGGCAGCATGTTTTTTTTTTCTTGCAACTTCATCTCACTGGAGAATCAAACCGGACCTTGGGGCTTTTTCCAGAGGCAACAAATCTGGCGACATTGGGCTTTTTTTCGGCCAAAAAATTCTTTTTCTCAGCTCGAAAATTCTTATTTTTCTGGTAAGATTGTGACTTTTCCCGCGAAAACTTGAAGTAGTAGGTAATGTATGTATTACATGAGAAGTTTGGAGTCCAAAAATCATCTTTAATTCATATATTTTTGTTTGATTTGTGAAGGATTGAATGTTGAATATTGTTGTTTATATTTACCCCAAAATAGGGGGAGTGATCATAGTCCTTTTTTTTGTTCATGTATACTAAATTTATGCTATTGTTAGGTTATGTTAGGTGTTATTGACCATAAAATAAAAAAATAAATAAGATGAGAATAATGATAGTACCATTCTTCATGACTGTCTGTACCTTTGTTTGGATATATAGTACCACTTTGCTCACTGTTGGTACCTTATTGGCTGGGAATTGTGAATTTGTTTTTTTTTTTTAATCCAATTATTGTTAGATTTATGGAAGGGGCACAAAGTGATATATTAGAGAGTTGTACATACAAGGATGAATTGTATGTGTTCTCTATGAACCTTGAATCAACTCTTGATGAAGTGTATTCTCTCATTAGTAAGAGGTGGCCGATTGTTAGTTCGGAAACCGTCATGTTAAACTACATTGCGCCAAAGGCAAAAAAGAGAATTATTTTGTCCGATGATGAGGATGTAAAAAACATGATTCGGTTACACGGTTGTTGGAAAGTAAATATTGTAGAGATAGTTGCCATTGAAAGAAATGAAAGCTCGGGCATTGGAAGAAATGAAAGAGCGGATGAAGGAGTTCAATCCATGCCGATGAGCATGAGAGGGTAATGTTGCTTTCGTAATATTAGTGAATTTATTATTGATATATGGTGTATTTGTACCATATCTAATTCATTAATTTCTTAACTAGTTCCGTTATTTATAAAAAATTGTATTTTTTTATAATGAACGCAGGGAAATCTTACCGCAAGGAGAATCGGAGTTGGTAGTGCAAAATAGATCGATCGATTCTTGGAGATTTTACATCAAAAGAGAGGAACAAATATTCGGTGGCGGCGCAGATGAATTTTAGAAGGTTGTTAAAAACTACGCCATTGCAAATAGGCGTTCGTTTAAGTACCGAAAAATGATCAACAAAAGATCATTGTTTGTTGTACTGACGAGGGTTGTCAATGGAGAATCTATGCCTCAACATGCAAAGGTGATCATGTCTTTGCCATCCGGAAGAGCAATTTAGTGCATACTTGTGGAGTGTCCAATCTTCGGACAAGGGGGCATCCGAAAGCAAACGCTCATTGGGTCTCAAATGCAATTAAGGAGAAATTGAGAGATGAACCGAGCTACAGGCCACGCACGATATTGAAAGATCTTCATCGGGATTATGGTTTCGAGTTGCCTTACAAAAAGGCATGGTCCGTGAAGGATATTGCCATGCAAGAAATTCATGGAGCGAACAAGGGCTCTTATGATAAATTGAGATGGTATTGTTCTGCGGTGCGTGAGACAAACCCGGGAAGCATTGTGGATTGTGAGCTTGACAATGTCCAAAATAAGTTTCGTCGATTGTTCATTTGCTTTCGTGCTTGTCTTGTTGGTTTTTTAACCGGTTGTTGACCGTTGATATTTTTGGATGGCACTCACATAAAAAATAAATTCAAAGACGTTTTGCTTAGTGCTGTGAGTAAGGACGCCAATGATGATTTGTTCACTTTAGCATTTGCTGTCGTTGATGCCGAGACCGATGAAAACTAGGGTGGTTTTGCTTGAAGCTGAATAATACTCTTCTTACCTCCGGCTTGCCTGTTTCTAGAAGCTTCACGTTTTATACGGACCGACATAGCGGGCTTCTTAAAGCCATCCCTATTGTTTTTCCTGGCAGCCATCATACTTATTGTTTGAGACACTTAGTCGATAACTTTAAGAATCAGGTAATTTATCACTAATTATTCATAATAAAGCTTAGTAGAATTTATAATATATTTTATTCATAATATTTTTGTAGATTATTTTTACATTCTGGTAATGTTGTATTTGAACATGTTTACATATGGAATTGTGGATCAAGTTGTATTATGAGATGTTACTTTTAATTTCTTTCCTGCCTCTCTATCTATACTGAAATGTTATCTTTTTGAATGTTCTTTTTTACATTCTGTTAATGTTTCTTTCCTGCCTCTCTATTTGTTTGCATATTCTTTTTTTTTTTAGTTTACATTCTGTTAGTACTATGATGCACGATTTTGTTAGTTTTACATTCTTT